GGAGGTGAAAATTCGTAGCAAGTTCAACAAAATGAACGAGTAAGTTCACGTTTCTAAAGTGCCATTTCTTTTAACGAGGTCCGTTAAATGACGATTGTTCTTTCAGTTTATGCGAAAATTAATTATTCAACGAGAGACAATAAGCACCCACTAAACGTTAAACAGATTTTCGAGACTTTTGGGGAAATTACACGATTAAAGAATATTAATTTTTTACTTCTAATATAATTTCTTCTGATACTGATAACTATTAATAATGCTAGATTTTCCTTTTCTAATTAGTTTCAAGTATTAATATGTATAACAGCAGATGAAAGAATTTTTGTAATTCAATAATTTCTGTATTAAATATTACAATTACCCCGTGTAATCTAATTTTTTAAAATTATGTTACAGTGTTTTCTCTCTCTTTTTCTTTCTTCCTTTCTCTCACTATGCAATCATTGACGAAATGACATATTGTCCCTCTTTAATTTTTTAAAACTGCACGTCGACCACACATCTTAAACGCTGTTGAAAGATAATACTCCCATAACATTTAATAAATTTAATAAATGAAACGAAATTAATAATGACAATTAATAATCCAACAAAAAAAAAAAAAGAAGGAGGAAAAGTAAATCACCGAAGAATTAGAATTAACATTCTTACAGGCGAATCGCGATTGGTTACACGATTTTAGTGGAGGTGGCCGCGATATCGATATTCGTGAGATCGTTCTTCACAGATTTCAAGAAGAGGAAATTGACTTTCCGGGCATGGTTACCCTACGATTATTCGGAATTGTTGCCATACGCGTTCAGTTACGCCTACGAAGTTACCACTTCGATGCTGTGCTCTTGCCAGAATGTCGCCTGTGACACTCTGTTCGCTGGTCTGCTGATCCAAATTTACAGCCAGTTCGAGATACTCAAGGAACGTCTGATAAACATTCAGAAAGACGAGAATCACTCGGCGAAGCAATGCGCCAAACATTATCAACAGATATACAAGTTCGTCTGGAATTTTTCTTCCAATGGATTGTGTAATAAATTCATTTGCCTTCCGATGGTACGTTTATTCACGTTAGCTGCAATATAATAATAAAATAACAGATTTATAATTTCACCGTTTAACGCCAGAATTGCCAAAGCAGACAAAATGACTTTTCTATAAAAAAAAAAAGAAAAGAATTGATTAAAAGTTAAATAAATAATAATAAATGTAATATAATCTTAGCAGTATTAATATTTGATTACATGTCTTTTTTTCATCTTTTATTATACATTTAGTAAATAATAATGTTTGTTGTTATATGAATCACAAAATCTTTTCACGGATGAAGCTTAATACAGCGTTTGAAAGTATTAAAATATTTGAAAATCATTTTGTTCAGGAGTGATTATTAAATAATTTAAAAAATATACATACCTACGACTTTATTACACAATCTAGTACCAGTTTGTAAGGATTGTAAGGACATTTAATGATGCTTATTAATGAAATATATATACTCTCTATCTCTCTCTTTCTCTTTCCCTGCAGATTTTCTAGACTGGTGAACGAGAAATTCAAAATAATAGTTTTCTTGCAATTTTGTACGATCGCATTCACGTTGTGCTTCAACCTTTATCGAATGACCAACATAACGATGGTTTCTAAATTTCTGGAGGCATCGCTCTATTTAATTCGCATTATCGCGCAGATATTATACTACTGTTGGTTCAGTAACGAAGTGAAACTGAAGGTTTGTCATCGAAACGAAAGAGAAAGGACAGAGTTTCCTCCGTTGTTATTAAATGTGCAGTAATCCTCTTATTGCAGAGTCTCGAAGTGCCTAATATGATATTTAACAGTAATTGGACATCGTGGGATGAGAAGACGAAGAAGATTTTGTTACTCGTCATGACACGAACAACACGGCCTATCGAATTCACCAGTGGCTACTTGGTAACGTTGAATATCGAGTCTTTCGTGGCGGTTAGTATCAATTAATATACGAAGTCGCACTTGTTTTAGTCTTTGATCACTAACTGAGATACGTCAATCTCGCAACAAACACGAGTTTCATATTTCGAAATTTAAATGGCAAGCATATGTAATAAATAAATAACGTCGATGGCACAGTATGAAATTCGATAAATTCACGTTACATTTATATATTCGTCTCGAAATTTATTTTTAGAAATAGGGATAAAATATTTTGTTAATAAATTGGCTAAACTCGCGCGAGAAAATATTTCGCTATTTTAAATATTTCACTTATTTTCCAAGTTAAAGAGTATGAAGGATATTTTCTAGTACATCCTTCATCAAAGATATTAAATAAATGATTTTAAAAGAGATAATCGTAAGATATTTCTTCTTTAAATGAAGCAAGTCTCATTCGAAACATACTTTTACCATTTAATGACAAACGTTTAATTCTTCGAAACGAAAGAAAAACGAGTTAAAAATTTTCTTCTAATTTTCTCATTACAGCTGATGAAAACCTCGTACTCGGTGTTCAACTTGCTGAAACAGACCAAGTGAGAAAACCGTACCTTGAAATTATTTCTTTCGATTCTTCCGGAGGAATAAGTTCCACAGATGTACCAATGCATGTAGAGTACACAGCAATAAACTTTACATTATCAACTACTGAAAAATCGCCCGTAAATATACTTGCTTTGGTCGTAGAAGTGACTGCACTTGATATCTGGACGTTTGTCCTCTCTCGTCAGATCTGTTTGTGGGGAAGCACGCACGGTAAAGGTGCGCTTCGTGTCTCTCACTGAAAATTTCCCCGGCCAATTTCTAGATAGCGCAATAATCTCCCCTTTCTTTTTCATGAAATACCAGTGAGAGGTAAATATTCGTTATCATATTAGTTGGCAATAGACGATAATGTGAAGTGTAGCACGATGAAAATACGAGTACGACGGGGTCGATTCATTATTCTTTAAATAGTTAGTTATACATGTAATGAGTGTCGCGCACCGCTATTAGACTAATGGTACGTATCACCGAGGGGTAAGTCGCGGCAAAAGGAAGAGAGAAAAAAAAGTAAAAAGTCAGCTTATAGAAGCAAGAGGGTTATTGATTGACGAATACTTTACAATCGTCAGTTCGACGTTTCAAAGTTGCAGCAAAGGATAGTTTCACGAGGATAGTTGCTCAAGTTCTTTTCATTCCACCTGTTCGATAATTACTCGTTATAACTCCTGCTGTATTGCCTTATATCTCGACTGTCGGTGCAATCCTCGTAATTGAACGAAGGGGAACAAGGATACGCGAGGATAAAGAAAAATTTCACATTTCGACGATGCGTATACTGCGTTGGACATTCCTGTTGTTCACGTTGTGCGGCTGTTTCCCACCCCCGTCGTGGAAGACACCCCTGAAAAGATTCATCTACAATATTTACGCGGCGTTCTCGTTCCTGGTCTTGAATAGTTTCTTTCTCTCCCAAATATTGGACATGGTATACAACGTGGAAAGTACAGACGATTTCAGCGACAATTTCTCCGTGACGGTGGTGGTGTTCGTCACGTCCCTCAAGCTTTTCACCATACTGATATTCCGCGAGAACTTTCTGCTTTTATGCGACACGCTGCGGAGAGAACCACTATTGCCGATGAACCCTGAAGAATTCGACATTTCGTTCAAATTCGAAAAAATTACCAAGTAAGTGGTTGCCCTTTAACCCTGTCAACGATGAAAACGTGTGAAATTATAATTCTATACTATAATTAATAATTAATAAAATTTCTCAAAGTAAAATATGAATTTCTATTTGCCGTAGAAGTATATTATATTAAACTGTAAAAGAACACTGATTTATTAAAAAGAAAGTATTGTATCGTGAGAAAATTTTAAGAAATATTAATTTTAAGAAATTTTATTTTAAGAAATATTTCACGAGATGTTTGATATGTCAAATGTTCTTGTTAATTTTCTATTCATGAAATATTTTTTTATATATATAAATATCATAAAATATTATATATATATATAAGTACTATAATATATTATATATATTATTATATACTATTTATCCGCAGAAATGGAACGCAAAACTTTCAATGTTCCGTAATAAAATAATAATAGTTTTTTGATAGTCTTCCAATAAATGTAGTTTCTCTGCAAGAAGAATTGATAAATAATAAAAATATCAAATTTAATGTTTCGAGGGGACAGTAATAAGATATTATTTGTTGGCAATTCGCTGAAAGAATTGATCGTCGACGAAGAACGTCACTTCGATTGAAATTATTTTTCTTTTCCAGTTTGAACACACTTGGTTACATGACCTTACTCACGGTCTCTGACTTCTGTATACTCGTACTGTCGCTACTGACGAATTTCAAGCGGAGAAAACTGGCGTTTCGAACGTGGATACCGTTCGATTACTCGTCTGCATCTGCATATTTGCTTACCTTCGCCTATCAGTGCCTATTCGCGATAATATGCACGTTCGGCTGCGTCGCTAGCGATACTCTGTACAGCGGCCTATTGATACACATTAATTGCCAGTTCGATATATTGGAGCATCGTCTGAGGAACATCGAATCGAACGAGAATTACTCCGTGAATCTGTGTGTCCGTCATCATAATCACATATACAAGTGAGTAATCTCAATAGAAGTGATCAATTTGATCACATGTACAAAATCTTTTATTTTTAGAATTAGGAAACAATTGCACAGCTCTCTTCCACTCTTACACATTTATGAACTTGCAGATTCGGCGAAATGGTGAACGAAGAATTCAGGACGATCATGTTCTTTCAATTCTGCACGAGCCTGTCGATGATCTGTTTCAATTTCTATCGAATAACGCAAATCGAGATGGACTCGAGATTCGTCGGGACGATCCTCTACATGACCTGCTCGTTGATGCAGATATTTTATTACTGTTGGTTCAGCAACGAGGTCAAGCTCAAGGTTCGTTATATTACGACGAAAAGTATAACTATATCTTACGGTGGGATTCTCTGTTAGTATCAAACGCGTTGCACCTGAATTTGGTTTCTCTTTTCTCAACTGGACACAAACTGTTCGTAACAGAGAAATTTCTTGCTAGTATTTTTAAATAAATTCAAATTAAATTAAAAGCTAAGTTCAAATTGAAAATTATACTTGAATATAATTAAAAACTGGAAATAAAGATTTGTTACATTTTTTTTTTTTTTTTTTTCTTTAAACTAGAGAGTTTGCCTTGGCGATTTCACATTTTTGCGCGTGAAAATTTCCACGTGATTACAATAAATTGAAGAAGTATTCGACATTTATAGACTACGAATTTTATACAAGGAAATATCTAATTTTCTAATATTAAAAATTGTATTATGTTATAAATACCTATCCGTAGCTCCTGCTCGTAGAGAATTCCATCTTCGAAAATTTCATGCGTGGCCATTCAGTAAAGACGATACGACGATTTTTCAAGCAGAGTATGGAACTTTCTGACATGATATTCAGAAGCGACTGGACGTCATTGAATATCAACGTGAAGAAGGCTTTCCTGATGTTGATGAGGCGTGCCATGAAACCCATTGAATTTACCAGTATCTATATTGTCTCCGTGAATCTCGAGTCCTTCATGGCAGTCAGTATCGTGAGAATCCAATCTTTCTCTTTGCATTGAAAAAACTTGCGTATGCATATTTTACAGCTAGTGAAGACATCTTACTCCGTGTTCAGCCTGTTGCAACAGAGCCGAGACACCTGAAAACGAATGGATCGTAACGTAGAACCGTCTTTCTTCGATTCTTCCAAATAGAGTAATAATTGTTGTTCACCTAGGAGAAGGAAGAGAAGAAACCCAAGTTGAACAGAACACTGGAAACATGCACTACAGAGTATCTAGAGTGCATTCTAATAAATCATGTGAAACATGATTCCTGTGCGCTCTTTCCTTCACTTTTCCTTCTTCCTTTCTCACCTTTTCGTTAATTATTATTTTACTCTCGAAATTGAAAACACTTGAATCTAATTAACCCAGACTCTAATAAAACTGGTAATTATCATAAATGATATTATTACTTGGTATTTCTAATGAGAAACACAAAATAGGTAATTTGTAAGTATTACAGAGGGTTGAATGTACGTGATACCATAAATGTATGCCAACTCTCTTTCTTTATATCACTATTCTCCCTTTTCTGCACTGACACTTCTTGTTTCCTTTTCATACTTAAATGTCGTCTTCTTCACTTCACTCTTGGAACGTAACTTAATTAAACGAACGGTTAATCGTAACGAAAACTATACAACGGAGAAAGAATTTAATTGTGCATAGTCAATAATTACGTAAGTAGACGAACCTTAAGATTGTAACGACCTGTTGTCAGCAATTACGATAATTACGGAGCAGTTAATTCCAAGGATGGACGAGCACAAGAAAAACAAAATTTTCGCTTTCAAAATATAATGTAATTAGTAGGCTGCGTTTTGGTGCAAAAATAATACAAAATTACAGAGAATATCTACGTATATATAATATGAAAAAATAACTAGAGTATCCAATTCTCTAGATTCTACTCCTTTGTTTTTTCATTCTCGAATATATGAATTTGAACTCGCACTTAAAAGTACTCGCACTCTTGTGTAAGAAGGTAACATTTAAACAATAATATTAATAAACATGGAATCAAAGAAATTTCCATGAAACAGATTTGCAACAAAATAGCACAGTAAATTATGTAGCATGCAGACGCAATAAATTTCTATCACTCGAGTGAAACCCAGTTAAATTTTAATTCGAATTATTCTGCTAAGATTTTTCAACAATTTCAGTGCAAATTCGACTCGTTAGGAACATCAAAGATTCGAATCTCCGGTCGAGTTGTATCGAAAGTTATTAAATAAGTGTGAAACAAGTATTATTTAGTTGATCGTCGAAACAAGACATAGCTAAATAAATATCGATTGAAATTTCTCTATTTTTTCTTGTCCACGTACATAGATAATCCACGGCCCTTGTAAACGTGAATTTATTTATTCTTTAAATGCGCGGAAAATAGTTAATTTCTTATTGAGAATATCGCTGAGTACTCACAGTAGTGTAAATTTCTGGACGTTGTCGCCGAGACAAAAACTTCGATCAGTGAGCCATGACATTCCGCCCCTTGCGGCCGGCAAAAGCGGACTGAATGTGCGCTATCGTGTCCTACAGTTTATTGTTTATTAATTTTTCGTAGAGGGGAGACATGCATGAACCATTATGTATTTCCGGGACAAATTCGACCCTTTCTTCGTCTATTGATTTCGTGTATTGCCTTCCATCGGCTAGTTGGTACTCCGTAATTTCGCGGAAGTGAAATAAAACAGAGTGAATAACGATTTTCCTAGCCAATCAAATCAACAACCGTCAACTTGCAAGTCAACTCCGTTCTTGATCGCGATTCCGTCTAAGCGAAAGTTTTTTTCTTTTTTTTTTCTTTTCTTTTTCAACTCGGATATACTTATTTTTCCCATGCATGTTGGAACAAGCGTAGTAAGGATAGAGAAACGTACGCAATGTAATAATAATTAGGAGAAAGATCGATCGGGAAGGAGGAAAACTGGCCAAGTCAAGAGAACAGCGCGCAGTCGATAAAAGCATCCTCGTTGTACAACGATCGACCAACCTCGACGCGAAGATTTATAATTGTTGCAATTAATTTCGCATCCGCGCAGTTCGATTTTTTTTTTCTACGTCGCTTCGTACAATTTCTTCCAGGCAAAAAGATAAGGAAATATAATTTACTGTCTCTCTCTTCGATATAGAAATAATCTTACAAACAAAAACAACTTTCATCAAAAAGATCTCTTTTATATCTAACGCGCTTTGGACGTTAATCGTTTTTTAAAGACAGAGTTTAGACAGAGTGACAGACAAGAAGGAAGAGGATGCACAGACTTCCTCTGTCGTTCGCGCTGCTCACCATCGCCGGCTACTGGAGACCAACAAAATGGCCGGCCAGTTCGCTCAAATCTCGGCTGTACAACGTTTACTCGGTGTTGATGATCTCGATACTGTATTTCTTCGCCTTCTGCATCTGCGTGGATTCGTTCACCAGCAAGAATCTCAAGACCATGTCTGACAAATTCTCTCTGTGCGTCTCGGTGGTAGGCGTCTGTCTGAAAGTGGCCAATCTCTTTCTTCGACGAGAGAAGATCATAAACGTGATGAATATTCTGTTGAACGAGAATTGCTTGGCGAGAGACGATCAGGAGATGCTGATCCAACGGAAAAGCGACAACCATGCCAGGTTCTGTCTTTTTCTTCGTTGAAATGTTCTTTCGTGGACTGCACACTCACGAGGAACACGGTTATATTTTTTTTGCGAAGAACAGTTGTCGCTTTTTAGTGGAGAATTTGTTATTAAAATATTTTTTATATAGCCATTTGTTAAAATATTTTAATACATTTGTCGTGTATGGAGATGTAATGAACGTTCGAGATACGCAAAACAGAACCAACAGAAGATTCTGCTAATCTTTCCTCATTCTGACAATGAGTCCTGTAATATATTCTTTCGTATATATTTAAAAAGCTCACTCGAATAATGTTCATTGTTGACGTCACTGGCAATTTTCGTCGTGAATGATCACTCGTGGATCTGTTACAGAAAACTAGCGATACACTGCGAGATCCTGAACGAATCGACAGTGTTCTTCGCAACAGTGGGTCAGTATAAGAAGCTCATAAGCACAAGAGGGTTACCGCTGTCGGACTGGATGCCCTACGATTTATCCTCTACTGAACTATACACGGTGTCGCTGGTGTATCAAACGATTGGCCTGATGATCTGTGCAAATGCCAGCGTAGGCAACGAAACGTTGATCGCAGGATTGATGATACAGATCGGCGCGCAGTTCGAAATATTCTGTCATCGATTGAAAAATCTCTCCTCTTTAGTGACGGCGATGAGAAACGACAGCGTGTCTCACGAAGAGTTCAAGATAAGATGCAGGAGAATTCTCGAACGTTTGGTCAAACATCACCTCGAAATTTACGAGTAAAAGAAACAGACGCGACTACTTCTCAGAAACTTCGAAATTTCGAAAGCTCGAAATCTCGAAGGTGATGTCTTTGCCTTGTGTGATATCCTCAATGATTTCGTTGCAGATTCGCTGAAACGGTGAACAACGTGTTCCAATACATGATCTTCTTGCAGTTCTCCATAAGTTCGGTGGTGCTGTGCCTGAGTATCTACAAGCTGTCTACGATAGACCCGTTCAGTATGAACTTCGCTTGGGTCGGCTCCTATTTGTGCTGTATGCTCATGCAGGTGTATTTATACTGTTGGTTTGGGAACGAGATGATGTTGAAGGTTGGCACTCTCTTTCGTTTTTCTGTTCGATCGTTACATCTTCGAGTACAGTAGCACGAGATAGTATACATATATTTCTGAGACGGATCGTTCTGCTCAATGATGTGTATTTTTGGTCGGTGGCTAATGAGACGATCAGTTTCGATGAGTACGCCGAGAGCAAGATCAGAATGATTTTCTGTCATTTATTGGACGCACGCACGTGCACAATGCGACGAATATTTTATATAAGTTGCAAATTACAAGTTACGGGTATTAATAAATTAGAATATCTCTGGCTTCTAAACTAGAAACCGACCGATTGTGAAACTTTACAGAATTACATAATTGTAAAAAGTACTTACTGCTTATAACTCAATTAATTCATTGATTCGCAAAAGCAGCTCTCGTCTTAAATTGCAAATGATGCATACTGACGTCGTAAACTAATATTCGTAGAGCAAGAAAGTAAGCGACGCTATTTATGAAATGGACTGGACGACACTACCTGCTGACTTAATGAAGGATTTACTACTGATGTTAGTAAGAACCAAAAGACCTGTTAAAATGACCAGTGGCCACGTTGTGGTTCTATCCGTCGAATCTTTCACGACAGTTAGTAGAACTTCAATATTTCCAATAGTCGATACGAAAATAATTAAACGGCAATTCTAACGACTCTGTTTTGCAGATCATGAAAATGACGTACTCCTCGTACAATCTCCTGTCGAATTCTACGAGCAAATAAAGAATCTTCACTGTCACTCTGGCTCATTTTTTACTGACTGTTCGATGTCTTTGTATAATTGTTGTGAGGATATTTGTGCATCCTTTTTACTGTTGTGCGTTGTCATTACTTCGATATGTGCTCGTAACGATTATGACTGAGAAATAAAAATGAAGAATTCATCGTAAAATAATAACAGCGTATTTTTTATATTTTATATCTATAGGAAATAAAATAAATTTACTTTACAAATTCTACAAACATTACTTTAATATTTAGTAGCTTGCATTAAGATTTAGGAATCTTACTGTTTAGAAATCTTTAACGATTCTCTTGCAATTTCTCTGTCTGAGCCTGGCTCGGTTATTAAAGGCAGATATTTTAAGCACCGAATTTTTAGCGACATTTCTATCAGATCAGAATGATGTTTCAGAGTTTCGTACATCATCGATACACGAAAGTGAAACTGATAGAATTTGATGACTATGTAGCGAATTTTCAGATTCGTGGAACAAGGTTGAATAAAATTAACCGGAAAATACTTTCGATCGTGAAGAATTCGACTCGGTGGATCATAGTTTTTAAGAAACATGAAGATGTACGTTTTTCTGGTTCATTGGTAATATTACATAAATATTTGTGTCTTTTTTCAAGGTTACTTAAACTATCGTTTATTGTTCCTGGCCGTCTGACTAGCTAGTTAAAAGCTTCAACTCGGTAACACGGTACAAAACACTCAAAAATAGCAACGAACGAGGTGGGCCATGGTCAAATCATAGAAATTCTTTAACGAGTAGATATTTTTGCTAGTAACTCGCATGATTCTTTAATGATTTTTTAAATATCTTCAGATGATTTAGCTTTCCAATCAGTTCTGCTTTTCCTACTTATTTTGTTGAAAACTGAAAATGAAGCTGTCGCATGTTTGAGCTTATGTTACGTACGAACGTAATTCAAAAATATCAAGATTAATACCTCCGAGGGATATTTGAATTCAAAATGAACTTCAAATTGATTCAACGTAGATGCACGTAACTAACTTCGACCAATAAAATATTTCGAATACTGGAATACTAAATACGTAGATCATCTCTCAATAAAATACATCGAAATTCAAAATCATTGAAAATATAAGGTTTATTGTATTTTATTATACCATAATTTATTATATTTGTTATATTATGTAATGTGATAAATATAAAGGCGAAGAACCTTTTTTTTCCTTCTTCTTCTCATAACTCGAAATCGATCTATAGATTGAAAGATCGTTGGATCCGATCTGTGGCGAGGTGAGAGAAATTTCCGAGGAGGGGCGAGCAGAAAATAAACGTGCAAGACCCCCACCTCCCCTAGAACTTTCTGTGGCGGTCCATTTTTGGGCTCCCCACCTTCGGGGCTTCGCCTCGATCACCACCGTCCTCGCCGAGGAAGAAGCTTCTCCAAGCACCCTCCGGACACTCGACTCGCGCCGCTCCACTCGCTCGGGTTAGGTAAGTGAATTACCATCACCGAAGATTA